TTCTTTCATTTACCTCTATAAACTTTTTTGTAACATCTACTCTGCCATCAAAAAAAAGGCATGTAACTGGGTTTTTTCTAGGTCTACCTCAAACTGATTGTCTAATTCTTTTGCTAATTTTTCTTGACCCCTTTTGATCTTGTTATGATCTATAATAAGATGGAAATCACTCTCGCTTATAAGTTTTGCATCTATCAAAGTAATTGTGGCTATTTTAGCTGCTTCTCTAAAACTTGTTTGATGTCTCATGCTAGCCAGAGCAATATTTTTAATTTTCATAGTATTATACATGTAGAAAATGTTTAATTCAGGGAAGATTTGCAGCTAGTTGGACTATCTACTTGGATTATATTCTGCTCACAATCATCTTGAAATGTTATAGAGGAGCTATTTGCGTAAACTGTTTTAACAGTATTGTGACGTACATAATCCTAAAAAATATAAATAAGTTCTTTTTATTTTTAATCAGAATCTAAACATTATTAACAACTTATTTAACACCCCATTTACTCAATTTCATATTTTTCTACAAAAATACTATATAAATTTTTAATTTGACCAATGATTGTACTCCATTTTAATATAGAATATAAAGAAACAAAACTTTAACAATGAAATAGATATTTTAATAAAAAATAATAGTTTTAAACTTACTTGCCCTACATGGGACTGAAAAAGTAATACAGATTTATTTTCGTTCAGACTATCTAATTTTTCAAGTTTATCATTTGTTTCATCTGGTAATATATATATAAAGCCATATATATATAAAGTAATATATATATATATATATATATATATATATATATATATATATATATATATATATATATATAAATGATTTAAATGTTGACATCTTGTACGAGACTAAATATATATATATATATATATATATATATATATATATATATATATATATATATATATATATATATATATATATATATATATATATATATATATATATATATATATATATAAACTAATTTAAAACATCAGATAATACGAATTGTCTCAATACTAAATAAATTATTTGAAATTTTCGCCGGATTGTAGGCACTGGCACCATCAGCATATAATATAATATAATTACAAAAATTGTGACCGTTAAATAACAACAAAAAATTTTTTAAATTTTGACGTCACCTTTATAATGGCTTCTTTTACCTAAGTATGAAAAAAAATGAAGTCCAAAAATTTATTTTTAAATATTGTCCATTGTCCAAATTCATACCCTCGTACGTCGGAGAACATTGATGTTTTTGTATCTCTAAGACCTCACGGACTTTTCTTTCAAACTTTTTATCCTCAACTTTAAGTGTTATTACTTTATTCCATTCAATGTCCTCACTGCAACTTACTTTATGCAAAGCTAATGCAGACTGGTTTAACTTGCCTTCAGTCAAAAATTTTTGGTGTTGTTGAACCTTTGTTCGTATTTAAAGTTTCGTTTCACCAACATATACTTTGGAGCATTTGCACTTAATTAAATAGATTCCTGGGGTGCTGTTGCATGGTAATTTAGACTTATTTTTAGACGTTAATAGCATTTTTAGGTTAGCCTTTGATTTAAAAACAGTTCTGTAACCAGCTTTTTTGAATATTCTTTTAAGTCTGGGAGATATTATTGGTATCCATGGTAAAGAGATTGTAGGAAGGTTATTAGAGTTTGATGGAACTTCATTTTTGTTCGCAAAACGTTTTTTTCGAACCTGATTAGAAATATCTTTAAGCATTTTTTCATCGTATCCATTTTCAGTAAACACTTGAATTAAAAAATTTATCTCATCTTTTAAATGGTTTTCGCTGCATATTGAGTATGCTCTGTGTATGTATCCTTTGAATATTGCTTTTAAAATTTTAGGATCATGATTAGAATGAGGTTTGATTTGGATATTGGTTATTGCATCTTTCCTGTAAACCTTGAACTCATATTTTCCTTGTGTATTATTAATAACAGTTATATCCAAAAAGTTAAGTATCTTATTTTTGTTATCAACCTCAATAGTATATTTTAAAGAAGGATGTTGTCTGTTAAGAATTATTTTAAACTGTTCCGCTATATATATATAACTGTTATTAATAAATATATAATAATAATATAGATATAACTGTTATTAATAATACACAAGGAAAATATGAGTTCAAGGTTTACAGGAAAGATGCAATAACCAATATCCAAATCAAACCTCATTCTAATCATGATCCTAAAATTTTAAAAGCATATATATATATATATATATATATATATATATATATATATATATATATATATATATATATATATATATATATATATATATATATATATATATATATATATATATATATATATATATATTCTAGTACAAGCTTTCTAATTGACCAACTACCTTTTTTTCCTTTATCATTGCTACTTTTTGTTCTTGTTTTTTTTAATTTTTTTGGATTCTTTTCTAACTGCACCACTAATATGAAAAGTTCCAAAGCTTCCTATTTTTGTTCTCTGAGAATTAATAAATTGAAGCTCTACAATTGGAATTTTCTCTTCTCTCTTACATTAGCATTTTATATGAGTTTTTTCTATACATTCTGAAGCACGTTTTTACTCTGAACAAAGAATTAATTTACATTTACACAGTAAAATGTCCACAAGTTTGTCTAATTTTAAAGAAAACCTTGCTTTTTCAGCTTTTTTAGCAAGTCCATTACTAAAATCAACAGCCAATTTCCATAAACATTTGAGTTTTGAAAAAAAAAAAAAATTCAAGGATTACAACTGGATATACTAAAAGTGCATTTGCCTTTAACCATTGACCAAGTACAGCTGGTACCATATCAGCTACTAGCTGGTCTACAGTATAGTTCCTCGTATTTTTTTCACTAATTTCTCTTAAAAGTATACCATATCGTAAAGTAACTCTGGCTGTTGGAAGCTCAGATACATAAAGTTCTTTTCCATTGCCTATAAGTTTGCTCATTTTGATAAATAATGCATTCCTTGTTCTATTGGACATCTTTAATTAAGTAAATAAGTTCACCGGAGCTTTCTTTTTGGTCCGAATATAAAGTATAAATGGAAAGAAATGTACAGTTACGCATTTTAAATATTATTTTTGTAATAACCAAAATAAGTAATAATAAAATGAAAAACTACCAAGCTAGCACTGAAATAATTTCATTTTTAAAAACATCACTCCTATTAAAAAATTGTAAAATTATACTTTTTCACTACTCATTTTTCTAAATTTAAAAAAGTGCATTTTACCATAAAAATCGACACACCCTATTAGAAACAGCCACAAATAGTAATTAAGACTAATCCAAAGTAGCGTCCGTTATTGATCAACATTTTCGCGTACAGAATTATTTACTCACGCGCTGAGTTGGCGATGGCAGGATTTGAACCCGTATCGTACAACAGTCCGGGTTTTAACTTTTAAATAAAAATATGAGCACTTACTATTTTAAAAAGATATACTTTTTAGTTTAAACTTTGATGTGAATGTGAAATATGTTCATGAATATAAATGTGAAATATGTTCTTGAGGTTGAATATTTACTGGTCGTTTAGGTTAAATATTTATCCGTCGTTGTTTTAAAAGTTAAATATAGAACAATAAACAAGCAGTGATGTACAGGAAATGTAAAGGTTGATAAAAAATTTAATCCGCTTATATATCATTTTTCTAAATTTAAAAAAGTGCATTTTACCATAAAAATCGACACACCCTATTAGAAACAGCCACAAATAGTAATTAAGACTAATCCAAAGTAGCGTCCGTTATTGATCAACATTTTCGCTGTAATGAATGTAAATGTAAATTAAATTTAGTAACTTCAAACTCACCGTTCCGAATCAGAGTTAACTTAGGTTGGTTGCAGTTTTAGATAGATTAACATAGGAAATAGTTTGTGGTTTTAGAAATGGCTTTTATGCTAAATAAAAGTGTTCAAAGACTCTGATAATAATTTTGCGTTAGTTTATTGAGTCTTGACAAACCAGAATTTTTTTCTGAAGAAGTTTCAAATTTACATTCAGAAGTTGTTGTTGATAAGAGGCATGAAATAAAGTTGATATTATTTGTACAGTTGTTTTTTTAATATAAATTAGTTTAATTGATACAATTGATTTTAAGTTTGTAAGTTTAGTGATTTGTGTGGAAATATTTTTTATGTGTTAATCATGAATATAATTATTGATTGTTTGAAAAATTGGGTTAATCATATTTCGAATATTAAGAACGATGCTGTTGATTTTTTTGTCCGATAGAAGTAAATGATATGATTGTATTCTCCTGTATTTGTCTGTTGTTGATGAGTTCATGTTGTATTTTACCAAGTGTCTTCTTAATTTTACTGTTTATGATTTCCAAGGGATAATCCCCAAGCACCATTTAGGTTCTTGAAAAACAAAGAACATGTTGTTAATGAATCCTTTTTAAAAAATAACATTATTTAAAAATTGGTAAGTGATTAGTTCGTCAAGCCTTACCATTAATAAATTTGCTTAGCAATGCGCAACACATGTGCCTATTGATGCGACTGTTTGTTAGTGGTAGCGCTTGTCACAAAAGAGAATTCCTTCTATTGAAAGAGAATTCCTTCTAAGTTACCTACAATAACTGGACAAGGGCAATTAGTTGGTCTAGCTTTTATTGGTATGCGTAGGAGAGAGTGCAGTGAAATAAGACAAGATTTTTTGTTTGCGTGCTACGCTTTATATTTTCCACAAAAACCATACAAACTGGATTAAAATTATAGTCCACTGTAAACTTGATTTTGATTATTTATACTATTGTGTAGCTGCTCATAGTTATAAGCTCCCAGATTCGACAGCCATCGCACTATGCGTTGCTCTTATACAAAATGAGGAAATAGCCATATAAATATAGAAGGACTTAAAATATTTAACTTATTTTTTCACAAGACATCAAATTTTTATTTATATTTCTATATTTAAAAGAATCATATTCGGTTTTCATAAAAAAACAATTTATTGTATTTTTTTTTTCGGTTAGTCCGGACTAATTCTATATTTGTCCGGAAAACTACACAAGTCCGGATGATTTTATTCAAAAAAAGTAGGCGCCTATATTTTATAGAATTTTACAAACAATGTATATGAACACTATTTCAAAATAAACAGTATCATTGAATATAATAAACAACTCTGCTATCATATGATACTTGGCTCTTTGCATTCTTTCACAGTTTCTCAACGTTCTATTCTAATAGATATTTTTAATAACTTGTGGCTATGAAAATAGCCGGTTTTTTTTAAATTCAACACAGAACAGCTCATCAGTATGATTCTTCATGGTCTTACTTCCTAAAATAGTTAATTGCTTGTTAAAATTGATTAAATTGTTAATTAACCAAAATTATGAGATTGCCTAACCAAAAAAAAATCAATCAAAACTATTAACAATATTAATAATAAAACTATTTTACCTTTATTTTAAGCAGTTATCAGAAGAACTGTCACTTTGCTTTCTTAAACTATTTTGTAGTTGTTCTGTTTATATCAATGAGTAAATCTCGAAACAACTTAATCATTCTGATATCCAAGTTTAAAATTTCCCTGTCACAATCGGGTTATTAAAAAATTTGCGAGCAACATTTCCAGTATTGGTTGTTCCACATCCTTTCCTGACAAAAGAAACCCTTATATTCAGTTGTATCTTGAATAAATGCTGGAATTTTTTTTTGTTTTCAATAAATTCTTTACTCTTTTGTGATAGAATATTTCTTCCTTGCTTAACAGCTGGGAGTTTACAAGCAGTATTGAAAATCCACTCCATACAGCGCATCCATAGATGAAGACTGCAAATTCCAAGTTTCAAAACATGCTTGTTTAAATTAATATTTTTTTTCCAAATAGTTTTCAAGTTAAACTCCTTAGAATTTGCAAGGCATACATGGCAGGACTGAGATGAAATTTTTTTTTTAAGCATATTTGATACAACAGCGTTTAGTGTTTTGCCATCATTCATTGTGGTATAAATAGTTGACAAACTAGACTTTACTACAAAGTACTTTCACCAAGTTTAAATTCAATATTCTTCAATAAAAAAATTTCATTTTTCAAATGTTCAAATTTTCCTGAATAAAACTAGCAGTCTTTTTTGCAAAACAAAAAAGAAGATGACGGGTTGCATCTGGATTATTTGGAATTAAATTTTTCCATATTATTTTTTCTCCACTTCGGATCTCCAGCAGTACAAACATTATACTATACACAGAGCGATCATCTACACCTCTTTTCATAGTTGCTGAATTTTGAAACTCAGATTGATCACTTTGACCATCACCTCCTACTTTGCAAATAATTTGTACATTATCACGCTCTTCTTCTGATAAACTCATTATGCAGTTACTTTCATAATCCAAAAGATATTCAAACACTCTAGAAAATGAATGCTTTATCATATGGAAAAGACTACATTTTACTTCGGTTTCAGAATATTCAACCTGTTCTGGATATGTCAATTTTTTGTATTGCTGCAACTTGGTTAAACCTGGAGGAACAAGATGACAATTATGAGTCACTATATTTTTAAATTCAGTCCATGTTCTATCTGTAAGTTTCAAATTACAAAGAGCTTGCAATGACAAATTTGAACCATATAAAATAGCCCTACCATCAATAGAAGAATTAGATTTAAACCTTTTGACAGCATGTTGCAGTTCTTCTACCTCTCGTTCTCTAAGACTATCTGTTCTTTTACGCTTCATCCTATTTGTAAGCTTAATAAAAGACTATCTAGGTTTTGGTGTACAAGATGTATTGACTGCAGATGATTTAGGTACTCTACATGGTACACTATAAATAATAAAAAAATACATTAAAACATATATACATTTTGAAGGTTTTGTGAAACATAGTCAAACAATATGTATGTGTGTGTGCAAAATAAAGAGGGAGATACATTTATCTATGCATACCTGTGTACATTGGATCCATGAGTACGAAGCAGTAATTCCCCTTCTTTTATTTTACGCTCACCCTGCTTGATGAGTTGATTACCCTGTTTAATCAGATTTTCACCTTTTCTAATTAATAGCAGTTCTTCCTCATGTGTTCTAATCTCTTTTTCAGAATCTTTTTCTAATCTACACGCATAAGTATTATATATATATATATATATATATATATATATATATATATATATATATATATATATATATATATATATATATATATATATATATATATATATATATATATATACTATATATATATATATATATATATATATATATATATATATATATATTTATATATATGTGTGTGTGTGTATATATATATATATATATATATATATATATATATATATATATATATATATATATATATATATACATATATATATATATATATATATATATATATATATATATATATATATATATATTTATATATATGTGTGTGTGTGTATATATATATATATATATATATATATATATATATATATATATATATATATATATATATATATATTTATACTATAATGCAATATTTATTACTTATTTATAATAAATCAATATAGAATATATTATACTCACAAGAGATATTTGCATTGTTGATTTTGATCCAAAAAATGTTTATATTTAGTAAGAAAGAACTTTTTCTTTTTCCACACTCATTAAATTTTTTTATTAAATTAAAAGCCAGAGTTTTGAAAATGTTGAAATTCACAGTGCAATCAGCATAAAGTGATAAAAACTTGGACTGCAAAAATTTAGCACATTCAGATACATTTTTACTCGTGAAAATATGCCTTGGAGGATAATTATCAGCCAGAAGTTTGCTAAGATTAAAAGTAACCATTTTTAAAAAATTCTAAATCACGATTAGAGCCAAACTTAGGTTATAACTTAAAGACTAGAAAAGAATGTTCCGCCCGCTGCCAGTTTCTTGACAAAAACTAACTAACCGGTTTTTAATAAATCCACCTCTTTTGAATTGATTTTATAGCATGTTACTACAGAGGTAGCGAGAATATTATTTCACTTATAAAAAGTCAATTTGTTTGAGAAAATTTTAAAAAAATAAAAAACTGGCTACCTCTGTAGTAGCATGGTCTAATCGATCAATCTTTACAGACACCCAAAAACAATGATCCAAACATTTTTTTTTTCTTTTCTTGGTTGTTAATTTACGAAATGTATCATTTATTAGAAAACGTGCAAAAAAAATGAAGAAATTCGAAAATTATCTTATGTAATTTAAAGGTTTAGTGAAAACATGGGTTTTTTTACCCCTGAAAATCCCGCACCTAAAAAGGCAAATTTAAAAAAATTAAAAAAATTTCTTTTTTATTAACTAATACTAACCTGTTTCAGTTAAAAAATATTTAAAATATTAAAATTGAAATTTTTTTTCTGAAAAGTAAGTAAAATCCTATTTCCGCTTCGCGACGCATAGTGCATCGCAGTGGCTTTTAATATATGCGCATCAGGCTTTAACTGGTTTATCACTAGTTTGTACCTTCTTAGCACCTAAAAAAGCATCACACTATTACTCACTCCATTATTAAAAATTATGATTTTTTTAAATTACATTAACTAAAATCCAGATTGAGCTATAGATTTTGATTCGTTTTTAATGAAAATAAAATTGTACCACAGTAAAACTTACAATGAGATTAAATTTAAATGATGCCTATGCCAATAAGTTAAATTTAAAGGGTTTGCCAGTGCCAATTGCAATTCCAGTGCCAGTGAGCTAAATTTAAAGGGTTTTAGTGAAGACCTAAAAAAAATAGAATTTAAACTGAATACAAAATTTTGCTAAAAAAATATTTGTCAATATAACAATACTGTGAAAGTCTTTATTAATTACATTAAAGAAAGTATTTAGTAAATATGTGTATGAAAACTTGGAATAATTGTATTACTTTCTCATACTGTATACTGGTTTATAATAAAGTAAAATAAACACAAAGTTTAAATCTATTTATTTTATCATAATTTTAATGAGTAATTAATGATACCTTTACGCTCTGCAACAAACTATTAACGGTATATCTTCCTAAAACCAATTCTTCACATGGTTCAATGTTTTTCAATTTTCTTACTATAATTTCTTGTGATTCATTCTTTCTGAGTTTTTTAATAATTACTTCTACTTATGATTGAATCTTTCTAAGTTTTTTAATAATCACTTCTTCTCGTGATGAAATCTTTTTAAGTTTTTTAATAATCACTTCTTCTCGTGATGTAATCTTTCTAAGTTTTTTAATAATCACTTCTTCTCGTGATGTAATCTTTCTAAGTTTTTTAATAATCACTTCTTCTCGTGATGCAATCTTTCTGAGTCTTTCTAGTCTTTGTGATTCCATCTTTTTATGTTTTAACATAAAGTCTTTAAAAACCTTTTTTGTAAAAACTTAAAATGAACAACAACTTATAAAAAAATTCGATTTGATACAAATTTAACGAAATCGTACTGTTAATTTTGTATTAAAATGCTTGAAAATAATGCATTTGCTATGTAGTTATTATAAACACAGTACATAGTTTTTAACTATATAGCTAAAGTTACATATTACTTAAGTAAACCCTTATTTTAAGGTAAAAATAAAAAATAAATATTTATTTAACGGTATCAACTTTAAGCATGCTTGCAACATGTTTTTATAATGATATGATATTACATCCTAAATTGTTAACAATTATTAACAAACCAAATTAATAAAATTCTTAAATAAAAAGTTGCACTAAGACATCTAAAATGACCGGCAAACATTTCAATTTTAAAACTTTTACGCATTTGCAATTGCTTAAAATTAGTGGTGATACGTTGGCTCGACCTTAGCGCTCACGGTCGTTTCAATATTATGAAAATGAGGTACGCATGCGTCAATTAATTTTAAAAAGTTTAGAACTTTTAAAATGGCTGCGGTCCTTGACTACATCGAACATTTTATATGACAATGTTTTTTTTTGTTGGTTTGTTAATGAAAACTTTCTAGTTTTATTTTACAATTAAATTAAATCAGTAGATTGATAACTTAGTTTTAAAATTAAAAAAGTTAAACAAGCTGAAAATGACCTTGGCGTGAGAAACCTTCAGTTTTCTTGAATGCTATTTTGATATGAGTCAGTAATTTGTTTATTTTTTCAAAATCAATTTACTCAACTTCTAACCGTCGGAATTTGAAATTTTTTTTTTCAAATTTAACAACGATGTTTCTTTTATATATGGTGATTTTTTGGTCAATGCTTCAACTTTTTTTCTATAAAAAAATATACTTCTGCTCGTATGCATAAGAAGGAACTAGGTACACTTAATTATATCAGGAAAAAGGTCATATATCACTATACACTGAGATAATAGAGTGTGTGTTTTTTTTTTTATATAATCATAATATATAATTAAAAAGAAAAATTAACATTAATATTTAGGGCATAGTTGTAAGAGCAGAAATATATTTTATATTCGAAAAAAAGTTGAAGCAACAACCAAAATCACCATAAATAGAGAAAACATAAAAGATACAGTATTATATATATAAGATATATCTATAAAAAGGTACTTACACATATGTGTAAGTATGTACTGTTGCGAGCACAGTTTTAATAAAAAGGTTGTATGCTTTTGGATGGAGTTACATAGCACAATTTATACCACATTTTTTGATTCACTTACAAATGCTTATTTACTAATAATAAATTATTTTATTTAGATAGCTCTATTATGATTTTCATTGCATATACTTGTGGTTAAGTGTCAATAGATTCAAAAAAAATCGACTTTTATTGTTGATTGATTTTTAATTCTTTGACACTTAAATTTAAAAACTTGGTACAAAGATTCTGAAAAATAGAGAAATCAACTATGTATACGATTCAATCAACTATTTTTGACTACAAAGCTCAATAGGCTACAAAGATAAATAGCTTTAGGTTCTTGTTAAATAAATTTTGAAAATTACCTTACTTTTGGAAATATCTATATATGCAGGTGGTGGTTTAATGATAAACCAATTTAGTATAAAATCATCAATATTTTTATCGTTTAATTTCCATATGTATTTTGACAGCACGATGTCTTTTGAATACTTTTTTTTTATTTTTAATAGGTTGCTAATGATTGGCAAAACATTTTTTCCATTCACTCTCTGTTGAGCTAATATATTGCTTATCAGGTACATTCTTAGAGAAAACAACACATTTATATACCACGTTTTTTGATAAACAATTCCCATTCATTGGACAATTGTTTTTTTGTTTTCAACTAGAGTTTTATGTCTTTTTTTCATTTAGGATTTCTCTTATGATTAACAAAGCATTATTGTGATCTTTTATAATTCTTTAAAAACTTTTTGTGCAACTGTATCTAACTTTAATTGGTTTGGGGTTAAACCAAATTGCATTTCTAGTCCTCTTTCCCTTTTTGGTATTCTTTTTTTTTAGGGGTTAAATTTTGGGTAATATTAGTTAATATTAATATACAATAATGCATTGTTTGAGTTAATATTATTATTCAATAATTTATTGTTTCGTTTTTTAACAGGCTCATATGAATTTTCAGAGAAGTTAGATGTGATAGAAAATTCACATTCAAGGCAATATTAAAAATTTTTATAGTATCTGTTCTAATTTTATCAAGTTGTGATCCAGATTTTTTACGCATTGCTACAGGGTTGTAGAGTCGTAAAAAAAAAAAAAATCGGAATAACTGTGTGGCTTTTTTTGTGGTTGTAGAGTCGTAAAAAAAAAAAATCGGAATAACTGTGTGGCTTTTAGCAAATTCACTTGTTTTATCTAAAATATATGCAGTATACTGTATATTAATATTGGGATCGTCCATAAAGTACGAATGCTCAGAGAGGAAGAGGGGGTCTGCAAATAGGATTTCTGAGATAAGGGGGCAGTAGGTCAATCATAAAAGTATGGAGACACTAAATTTAAAAAAATCTCATAAAATGTTGAGTTGATAAGTTAAAAGCGTATAGACATATAGGGAGGTAGAGGGTATTTAAAAATGCGTTTGGCAAAATGGAGGGGGATTGGCAAAAAAATGCGTATGTATTTTATGGACAACCCCTTTATTAAAACCATTTACCCTAAATTCTAGAACAAAACCAAATTTCAATTAATAACCGGCTAAACCAAAACTCCTCTGATGAAAACGTACTTAATTCCTCTAGACGAGTTTTTGAAAATTCTTATACCAAAAGTGGTTTTCCGAAATTTTGAACTAAAATTTAACCCCCAAAAAAAAATTCAAAAAAGGGAAAGAAAATTAGAAATGTAATTTCGTTCATCTTCAGCATTTTTTAATATATATAAAAAATTTACTTTGAGTCAAAGTATAATTTTGCATCAAAAAAAAGTTGAAGCATTTACCAGAAAAATACTTTAAAGATTGCACATATTTATTTAATTTTTAAACAAAATTTTTATGAATTCCTACGGTTAGATTTCTAGAAAATTGATTTCAAATAAATAAACAAATCTTGGATATCAATAAATAATGATATAATAAAATTCAAGTTTTATCACGCTAAGATTGTTTTAATCTCTATTTATATATTCTCTTATGAAAATTAAGTATTTATATACTGATTTATATAAAAAATAAGCCTACAACATCAATTTATAAGAAATAAAGAACAAAAGTACGGTTGTTATACAAAATATGCTCTGTAGTTAAGAACCGCAGCCATTTTAAAAGTTCAAAATTTGTAGTTATTTTCTAACGTATGCGTAGCTAAACATAGCGCTTGTAAACAACCGTGCGCTCAGATAATAACTGTCTAACGCTTTCGACGTTGCCAGACGTTGGCCCGACGTTGGCCAACGTATGTGTGGGAATAAAGTATGTCTGGGAATAAAGGCAACGTATGTCTGGGAATAAAGGTAAAATTTTAAGACAAAGAAATTCTATATAATTTTTTTTTTTCTATGAAAAAAAAAACAGTAACATGAAATAAACATTGAAATCTTATCATAAACGTAAACAGTATTTTTCTATTCACTTGATTTTTTCCTAAAAAATTAATTTTAAAACTTAAAATATCGTAAATTTAAAAAAGTGATGAAATTTAACAGTCTCACACTTCACCCCAATTCTCCTGTTCGAAGTCACCCCATCACTAGTAGGTAAGAAAACCTTTATTTTATATAGTTTTTTTAACCATAAAGCCTTTCGTTATTAATTGGTTTTAATAATTCTGATTATGTATTCCAATGACAATCTTACCCTATGTCCCGTTCTCCCCTATAGTGATGTCACGTCCTTCGTCACAAAATGAATTTGAAAGTATTTTTTTGTAACATGTTAAGAAAGTGTATACTATCTTTAATGTAAGCTTATAGTGGTTCTGCTAGTGATTGTATGAATTTCGTTGAGTACTCTGATGTGCTATCCGTTGGTCCGCCGCATGCTTTAACAATTGGTCATAGTGGAAAA